TAGGAGTTAAAGTATAGAATTGCCGATTTGTACTGACAATCAAAATGTTTATTTTTAATTTTTAACATATTTATTTAATCGAAATAGTTACCATTATCTATACATTGCTGCCATCTAATAGGAAGGTCATTTATGCCTTTGCGATAGAACTCTGAGGATCTAGACTGCAAAAACTGTGTGAAAGTATTTTGTACTGCCTCCTGGGAAGAAAACTTCTAGTCACGTACATAACTGTTCAAATCACGAAAAAAATTGTAGTCCACTGGAGCAAGGTCTGGCGAATACAGAGGATGACGAATGGTTTCTAACTGCAGTTCCTGAAGGGTCTAAACGGTTTCTCTTGCTGTATGAGGTCTCGCGTTGTTGTCACGGAGCAATAATGGTGAAGATCGATCCATGAATCGGGACTGTTTTACTGCTAATTTTGCCAACATGTTCGGAGTTCGGCACAATAGACATCTGCCGTTATTGCTTGACCAGATCGGAGAAAACTATAGTGAAAAACATCACGCTGAGACCACCAAACGGTTGCCATTACCTTTTTATTGGTAAGTTTTGCTTTAGAACATTGTTGTGGCGTTTGACCTGGGTTCAGCCATTGCATTTTCTTTTACGTTTTTATTATAAAGAATCCACTTTCTATCACTTGTCATAATTCGATCCAATATTCCTTCATTTCTGTTTCGATTCAACACAAGTTTTAACACGCGTTTATTTCTGCAGATCAGTCAAATCATGAGGCACCCATTTTTCGTATTTTTTTATTTTATTGATTGTTATTCATATGTGTGAGCGGTCTTCCTCGTGGCTCGTTCTTCAAGTCGAAGTTTCCGTCACGTAAGCGTTTAAACCAATATCGCAAGGTGCGTGCATTAGCAGATCCCTCTCCAAACGCAACATTGATATTGCGGGCTGTTTCTGTCCGCGTTGGAACTCGTGTTCAAAAATCAAAAATAATCGATAGTCGATATTCAAATGATTCACATTTTTTAAAAGAAGAACATCATAGAAACCAAGTGAAAAAAAAATTCGTTCGAAAACCTCAAACCATGAAGATTCTATGTCAATACAATCTATTATAATAAAACGGCAATTTCATACTTTAACCCCTAATACCTGTGCTACATTTTGAAGGTGTATATTATGTATGTGTGTCTATATATTTGACAAAGTATTCCTAATAAATTAGAGATTGGATTGATATTATACTTTATTCGTTTGTTTAACTATTTTTCAACTTAGGGAATAACATAAGAGACGACTCACTAAATGACTGATATCAGAATAGAAGGTTAGGTTGGGTTAGAACTGCGGCCCCAATAAAAATGAATTACTTCAAGAATAGTGGGTTAGGTTAATTAGGACTGCTGCCATCACAGAAAATGTTTAACCGGTAAATATAAGTATATTTAAATAAAGACGAAGGTGTTCATTTATCATTAATCAGAAGAAAGTAATATAAATCGGTGATAATTTCTATTATAAAAAAAGAGAGATTTAAACCGACTTTTAAAAGCCATAATATAGATAAACAACTGTAAAAAAATTAATAATACCATATTTTTTTATTTTAAATACAAATGAATCTTTTTACTTTTAATAAAGAGTACTTTTTTGACAAAATGTCTATTAGTTACATAAAATAATTTATATATTATATTGATGTTATTATTATGTAATTATTTATAAAAAGTTTAGATGGGCTATCTGTGGTGCACAATATTGACAACAAAAAACCAAGATAATTGCCCGAGTATTGTTTTAGTCACTTTTCAGCAAGCTTTGTGGGCAATGTCGTTTTCAGTCGTAATTTTCTGTGAAAAGTTGTAGAAAAAATGCCTTCCTGCGTGTTTAAATATTGCAATAATAACACAAAAACATAATATGAGAAAGTATTAAAAAAAATAAAGAAACTACAAAAATATGTCACTAGATGACAGCACAAATGATCCGTAAGTACTGTATTTACTCTTTTTTATTTTAATAAAAATAATATAACGACATTGAACACAGCCATTTTTTCATGCATCGTGTTGTATCAGTTGACTCATGCATGAAGCTATACAAGTATGTTTTACTCGTTCTAACAAGGGGTATGCTGAAGATTCTGATAGTGAGATAACTATTTTTGATTTTGTGGTTATATTATAATGTTACGCTTCCACAATAAAATTTACGCTGTTTTAATTAGCAATAATGTACAGGTATGACGTGACGTGTCTAATAATATAACGCCATTGTTCTTATACACTGACCTAAAACTATGAATCATTGATATTTTTATCAATGGTTAATAAAACAACTTAATAATGTCGATATATTTTTACTTGCATCCAATGATATTACAGTAAAAAAGGGTAGATAGCTTACTTGCATTTAAAAAGTGTCATCTTAAAACTGTATTAATTAGCATATCTGAGCGCAGTCTGGCGAAAGCGTTGATTATGTGCGTATATGTAACTTTCTTTTTTAAAATGCCATACTGTGTTATGCTACACTAACTATAGAAACTACATACGTAAGTAAGTCGAGTAAAGATCAAGGGATCACATTTTATTCGCAAGTATATATTTTTAATTGATTAGCGTTAGAGAATTCAGAATCAGAAAAAAAAAATTTGTGTTATAAAAGAAAGAGTAAATACTCCGATCACAAATTATGAGAAGAATCATCGCCATCTTTCATTATTTTATTTTCATTTTACGTGTAAAAAATAATTTATTTACTTGACATTGGCAGAATTGTGCGAAATGGGCAGATAATCCATTAATCTGCGCATTTCGCACAATTCTGCCAATGTCAAGTAAATAAAATAATTTTTACATGTAAAATGAATATGAAATGGATCATCGCCATCTTTCATTCATCTCATTTTCATTTTACATGTAAAAATTAATTAATTTACTTGACATTGGCAGAATTGTGCGAAATGCGCAGATAAGCCATTAATTAAAAAAGAAGAAGAAGAAGAATATGAAATGAATGAAAGATGGCGTGCGTGTATGCTGGGGACAATTTTTGACATTTCATCAGTACTGACATTGACATGACCTATATACCCTTTTAATTGTAATATTACTGCTTGCATCCCTACGTTACGACATTGCAAAAATGAGATCTAGTCTACACAGAAGTCCTGGGTAGCTTAATAATTAATTAGTCTACACAGACCAGTCAAATGTTTTACTTATTAAACTTTGTAGACAAATACAGGAATACGAATACAAACCTTCTCTCCTGCTGCCTTAAACTCAATCGCCACACTGGAGTCCCGAGTAATCACCATGTTGCTATAACTGCAATAGGGATCGCCGGGAGGAAATATCTCTAACCTGGGTACTTCATCCAAATGTACAAAGTGCAAGTGTGTGTCAGACTCTGTTTCAAAGATTTCTGATGTTACTAAAGAAGTATGCTATTTGTAGTTCCATTTCAAAATGTTATGATAAGCTAGGCATTATAAAATTTTAATAACCATATCACAATGAAACACAAATTGAAATTTACTATTAAACTACCTTTTGCCCGCGACTTCGTCTCTTCGTCGTAATCTTTTGCTCTGATAGGTTTTTAAATTGAGCATTATTCAGGCGTATTGTTAGAATAATCATGAAATCAGCTGTGATCGATTGTAATTATATACCGATTACACTGTCATCATGAAAGGTCAACGCTCAATCCTGATTATTCTGAAGCATATCGATAACTCAAGAGCCAGATTTGCCAGTTCTTCCGACAGAGCTTTAATATCAATTAGGAGTGGTTCATCCATATAAGAGGGAGTACCATGGGGTCCCTAAATGGGATTGGACTCGGCGGGCTCCCGGCTGGATCCTGGGTCCTTCTCCCCAAAAGGATACCCTGCAGCGTGTTTTTGCAGTTTCACTTTAACCTGACCTTTTCGGGACGCCAGCGTCATTAAAGAGCCTAGGTTTAAGGCTTAAGGTGCATTTCCTCTGCGATAACAGAAAATAATGTCCGTCCATATAGATAAACTAGACAACTGCTTAGGGGGTTTGTATTTGGAGTGCAGCATGGTTTGGTGAACCGGTTACCTATGTTTTAATTTTTAAAAATGCAGTACCTTAATGAGCCCATGTCCTCGTTATTCAAAATTACAATATTATCAGACCAGCAGTACTTAAGAACATCCATTTTTCATTGTCAAAATTACACTCTTTAAAATCGGTGTATACTTACATTAATCTTTCATTTGGTTATGATTTATTTAAGGGCGTCGACCTAGTGTTTTGACTTCAATGGGCGCGAAATTTTGTTGAGGTGGTGCAGATATCAATCGTATTAAGGAAACAGTTGAGAGAATTAACTAAGTAAGGATAAGTCTTTAACTTGTCTATTGAAGAGAAAGCTGATGAAGTTGGTTAGAAGATTTTACAAGATAAATATCAAATTCACCAAGTATGAGGTTTTTAGTGGGCAAGGTTACTCTAGAGGAGAGAAAATCCCTTCGCACCTCGCTAGCGCAGTTGTCAGGGTACTGCGATATACACATATACGAAGATACACACAAAAACTAGCACAGATACATATACAAACAGCTAAACGCATACGTGAAGGAACTCCGTCAACGAATACAACAAGAGTAGCATTCGGGAAGTTACAAAGTCTTCTTCTATCAGAACGGAGTGGGAAGTGGTCGTTGGGCTGTGCCTGTGCTTCGCCTCCATGGAGAGGGGACAACGCTGGGTTTAAATGGGTATGCCCCTATTATTTGGCTAGCCCATTCTGTCCGCGGGGTTGATTCCCACATAACTCACCGATCTTGCGCTAAGGGGAGCGGATATGCGTAATACATTTCATAGCGTCAAAAAAGAAGTGGATTCTGCCAGTGATGACTTATAACACCTAGTATGTTCTTTCACTATACGCCTCATAAGAAAAGTTCAAAGTTGCAATGCTGGTTATACCTACAATAAGGTCGGCGAAGGGCAATGATCGTGGTTTCTCTACAGATTAAAGTAATTAAAATGAAAATTTTAGAAAATATTTATTATAACCAATTAATTATATTACAAATACAATTTCTATTAAAAACACGCTTTTTTCTCATGATGCCTCATAAATCAATGATATTTAATACATTATACTATAAATAAAAATCGATTGTTCGCTCAATTTTTTTTTAAACTTTATATCTATATTTATTTTGTTATTAATAAACGAAATCATATTTTTGGCAAGCGACAGCGAATGCCCATAAGCCTGCAATACGGTACAACATCCTAGGTACCTATTTCAACGTTATATTTTTTTCTATGTAATATGTATTAAATATCAGTGAATTAACAAAAATTTAATTAATTTGAAGTTAATAAAATATTTACATAGAGTATACACTACCTATTTAATTACTAAAGAACCACTAAACTTCAATTTGAGTTTCTTGTTGGTGAAGTTGTATGCAAAATAAGCATTGGTGTAGAGTTATGGAAATAACACGGCGTGGAGATGCCGAGAAAAAGAAGTATACGGAAAAAAAAATACCGATAACTAAAGTACTTATTTATTTTTAACTTCTGACGCAAAAAGTGGTATGTGTGTGGTATTTAAATACCTCCTGAAAGAAAGAATCGATATGAATGCGCGTTTTTTAGTCGAATGCCTTTTTCATCGTATCTTTTTTTAGCTATGTTTTATGAAAAGCACTAATTTGTGGCTAATTTTTAAATATTGTACTACAGCAATATAATAATGGGCCGATTTGATTATGGTTTTTTTGATCGATGACCTCTATCGTCAAAATCGTTTTCAGTAAAAAAAATGTCTTTTTAAACCGTAAAGGTATCCCTATTCTGTTTCTCCGAAAACGAAATTTCGGTTATTTCGAAACGTTTTCGATTTATGTGCTTCAGAGTAATTACTAGCTACCTATTACCCCCATTACGATATCAATTTCAAAATTATTGGTTTAGCAGAGTTATAATAATGTTATAAAATGCGAAAATCTGTATCGGGGAAACAGAGACGGTCCTCAGGCGAACGTTACGTTATATTTTGTAGCGTGTTCCTATGCGCGTATGTTTTTCTATTCATACATTATATCGTGACACGTGACGATGTGTACTTTGTCTTTCTATATTAATTTCATGTGGTACTGTCAACCGCCTTCTGCGCATGGCCTGAAGATTTATCTGGGCAGCATCTGTCGATGGCTCTCTTTTAATATTTACAATTATCATTTGTTAACTAATAGCCACATGAGAGATTTTAAGTGAAATACAATTCTAGTGTGGACAGGGCTAGAATATTAATACCTTTTATAAAGGGAAATAATTCAATGTTGGTTTGCTTGCTTGCATTGAGTAAGTAAGGTAAACTTTGAAAGTACTAGACCAAGTTTAAAAAGTGTATCGAATATGGGTAGCGACATCATATAAGTGAAATATCAATAAATGTATTTCATTATCGACTTGACAGTTTTTCAATATTATCGTAAGAAAAATATTGAACGAAATTTCGAAATAGGTAGGTATACTATGATATATGGGTTGACAAAATTAAGTGCATCCTTTTATTGCTAAGTATAATTTCCAGATAAAAAAACAGAAGCTTTACTCATAATGGAAAGAAGGAATTTTAAGTAGGAACTATTTCTAAAGCTACAATGTTTACTAGGCGCGACTGCATCCAACTCTATGTTCAGTAAATTGGATAAAAGTGTAATAAATTATTATTGAGTAGAAAATTGAATTTTATTACAAATTCCAGTTACGTGCCCCTAATTAAATTTGCGCTTGCAGAATTGAGCTGCAATATTGCCCTCTATTTATTTGCTGCTCGTAGTAGATGTGCCGTTAATTAACTTTTTCAAATGACTATGCATTCGTGAGGGTATACTTGACCACGGGTATGCATTGTCGGGCAAGCTGGAAATAAAAAAAAAATATTTAGGTGCTCAATTTCATGTGTTATTTTTACATAGTCACGCATTTGTTAATAAATGGTTTGATGCCTTTATTTCATGATGTCGATTATTATTTTTTGTGTGTGTAGTTATAGCATGATAATATCAAAGTTTGGTATTTTTTTTCAATACAATTATCCCTGTACTGTTATTTCAGTAAAAAAGCAGCAATGAACTAAGAGTAGCACAACTTTATTGCATAATAAAGGTTCAAACGAGCATAACTACCTACTTACTACCTAAATTTTGAAGTCAGTTTTTTTTCATTGATCCTTGAAGCTGCCTTTGACAGAATCGAACTCAACATTGAGTAGATCGAAGAATTTCTGTGATTCTAATTTTTTTACAGAATATCAAAAGCTCTACTAAATATATAAAAAACTCATGTTACGATGAACCTATGCCCAGTGATAAACTTTGAAACTACTGAACTGATTTCAATCAAATTTCACATGTATCTGTAATTTGGTGTACATAACTTAAATGATAAGATAAATTAAAATATAAACACAGTAACACGTCGCTCGGACAACTAGTTGGTAATCTATAAATTTAATTTATGTTAGTCTTCATATATTTCTCTAAAAGGTTTGACTGACGGTCTGACGAAGAAACAAGTAAGGTTCTCTAGTCAACGCAATTAGCGAAGGCACTACTTAAATATACGTGTGATACGGTTTTATGTTTACAATGATTGGCAATTAAATTCTTGGACTAGCGTCACGTTTTTAATTAGCTGCCTTCATTCATTGTAAATACTTTACCTTTTTCACATCTTTGCCCATAGAATCCAGTACCCTCACACTTGCAAGCGAAACCAGGATCTTGTACCGTTTGTATACAAATACCCCTCAAGCATGGCATGTGATAACATACATTTGAGCTTCGTTCTGAAAATAAAAACGGATATTTGGTAAATATACGAATACAAATTATTTGGTGGTATTGACTGTCTATGTTAATTTGTTTATCATTGAGCACTGGGGATATTTTTTATTCTTCATGTCAGTGTTCGTAATTATACGTAGGTACACTGCGACATGACTAGATATCTATTACGGCTCAATATTTGAAACAAGTACAGTAACAAGGACGTAATAAAAGGTTCTTTTTTTATATGAATGACCCCTAAAAACGGACAGAAATTAAGCGTTTATTTGTTTATATTAAGAGACTAAATAAAATCATTAATTTAAAATTTCATGCAAATGCAAAAACCAAAGACTTAATGATCATATAAACTGCTATTGAAAATGAAAGAAATTATACGATATATCTAGTTACTAAAGCAGGAGTTCCCAAATTTATGTCGTCTACTGCCCACTTTGAGAATAAAATTTTTAAGCGCATTTTTTCACCTACTTTAAAACCACTATAACTAATAATTAAATTAATTATTGGGAGCTAATTAGCGGAAATTAAAAATTCATTCTATACAAGACTTAAACGGAGCGACCGGTTGACATAAAATTTATTTTATTTATTCAAAATTTATTTAGTAGAATTGGCCCCCAGGACAGATATGCATATCGACGCTGGAAAGCAAACACTTAGCAACCTGCAAAATCAAAATGGATATTTAGAGTGGAAAGCTTTATATTTTTCCAAAAAAAATATATCTTATTTCTGTATAAATTGTCTAAGGAATACCTTTTTTGTTACCATGGGCGTTTATAGGAATTATTTATTGAAAAAAAATAAAAGTTTTCAGCTCTGAAAAACAACAAGTTTTGCGGGTTACTACGTGTTTGCTTTCCAGCGTCGATATATAAATTATACGGAGATATATAGAATCGAGTTATTATGAGCAATCTCTTAATTAATATTATTAGTTACTACAAGTTGTGAACATCATTCACAACTCGTAGTCGATAGTCGAAAGCTCTGCAAATTGTAACAATAATGATATTACATAAGATTTAAAGGAATTTATGTCTACAAAATAATATACATTTAATGATTATAAAAAATATATATCACATTCAAACTACTTACTGTCGTTTATTTATAATAATAATAATATTTATTTTCAAAAAAAGTTACATAAGCAGAAGCTACTCAATATTACAATTGAGTAGCTTCTGTGTCTGAATGAAGTTTATATTCTAAACCTGAATCTCAGGCCTCATCGCTCCTCCCTCATTATATGGTCTTAGTATAAGTATACAACATTTGATGGCAATATAATTGATATATTTTAGTTACATAATTACAAATTATTTTAGTTACATAATTACAAATTATCAATTAATAAATATTAATTAAATAGCAACAATAAAATGAAAATCAACATAATTTGAGTTTGAGTGCCTCTCGGTGTGTAAAATGTGGACGTGAGTGAGTGTGAGAGAGAGGGTGTGTAAGTAGTGGAATTATCATTTTATCTTTATACTAAAATCCAAAGTTAGTTAGTATTTATTATTTGCTATTACTATATGTTCATTTACATTAATCAGATATTATTTACTACAGATTTGGAATTAATTTAAACCTATTCTAAACGAGAACCCCTTTCTTGGGTAAAGACCTCCTCCATTTGTTTTTTTTTGTTTATTGTCTTTGTTTCCTAATCGTTTCCAGCTATTTTCTTTATGTCATCGACCCATCTTCTTGGTGGTCTTCCACTTTATCCTTTTTCCTGTAGGTCCTTTCCATATAATGACTTTCTTTGTCCATCTTTCGTCCTCCGTTCTTGCCAAATGACGGGCCTATTTCCACTTTAATCTCATAAAGTGCTGTATAAAGTCGATCAGTTTAGTTTTGTTCCTAATAAAGCTGTTGCGTGTTTTCTGTGTTCTTCGGATTTTTAAGATCAATCTTTCCTTTGCAGATTGGCATGTCCTGATAGCTTCTTTCACTCGTTCTGTATATGTCCAAGTTTGTGAGTAGGGAAGAATAGAACTATCCATTAATTTCTTTTTTAGCGTTATTGGCAGGTCCTTTCAATATTTCCTTGTAAATCCAGGATTTTTGCCATGACGCATTTATTCTTCGTTCAATTTCTTCCATATTGTTATTGGATGAAAGGAAACTTGTTTTTTTAGATACATATAAGTGTCTACGTATTCAAAAGCAACGTTTTCAATGTTAATATGCGTGTTTGAAGAGTTCGCCATTACTTTGGTTTTTTGTAGATTCACTTCAAATACGACGGACGAACTTTGCTGTTGTAGAGTTTGCATCATTTGTTCTAGCTGTTGACTTTGTTCAGAAAATAATATTAAATCATCAGAAAAGCGCAGGTGGCTTAGCTTATTATTGTTTATTCGAATACTAAAGCCCTTCCAATAAAGTTTTTTGAATATTGTGTCTAGCACAGCGACGAAAAGCTTAAGAGACAGAGGGTCACCCTAATTTACGCCTTTTTTATATTTATTTCTGGGCCGTTTGTTTCTAGGCTGATTCTGCTTGTACTCTTCTTATGATTGTTTTGTATTATATTGCAATGTTTCTTGAATGTCGTTCTCTTCAAGTGCCTCCCAGATAGAAAAGTCAAATGCGTTTTGGTAATCTATAAAATTATATTTGGAGCTAGGTTATTTTTGACATGCTTATTAATCGGATTGATTTGGTTCATAACTATTAGTTTATCATGCTTAATTATTTCTTCTTTACCTTCTTCTTTATATTTTTGTACTTGTGTTCGTATTTGTTTTCTTTTCTCCAAAACCTTTAATGGATAATCCTCTTTAAAATATACTTTTGTGTTTTTCTATTTGATCTAACATTTCTCCTTGGGTTTTTTGTTCTATACTTTTAAAATATTTACTAATATTTTTATTAATACTGTAGGTAATATTAGTTTCCATCTCTTTCATTTTTTTTCTGCTCTGCAAGATCTAGTTGAATAGATTTTAACATTTTTGTTAATCTTCCATGTTTCTAGCTATTCGCTACTAGATGGACTGCTACTCTGTGTTTCGTTTTACGTCAACACATGAGTATTTGTTGTTCAATTCAACAGTTGTCAACAGATGGGGCTGCTGTAATCTTTTTAAAGATTTCTTTAAAATGACCGGTGATAGCAGATGACTAATCATTAAATGTTAGGTTATGTCAGCACTAAATATTTTGTACTTACTGTATCCTGTACTCGATAAAAATTAATTCACTTTTTAAGCCTGCAGTCTCACAAGGGGCGTTACTGCCCACTTTGGGGAGTGCTGATCTAAAAGGATGTATCAACATCGCAGTTGGCAAGGGCACTCATTTGAAATCATCAATTTAGCTGTAAGTAAGTACGAGATATATATATATTAAGTCTCGCGTAGCAATTCGTAGCATTTGCATCTACACAGTCAAAGCAGTTTGGATGCATTAACAGTTATGTTTATCGTGAATATCTTAACTTTTATGATAATAGGAATGATGTCTGGGTAAAAAAGAAAAAGAAATTCTATTTAGTCCGTCAATCAGATAATAGAAAAATATTAGAAACATATATTTTTTTGGTTCAGTTTTTTTGGGCAGAAGAGTACTAGTGAATTTATTTCGATTGCAAGACAAAACATCATAGAATTATGCCGTTGTTGGCATGAAACACATTGATTGAGTGATTCGCACGATTGTAATATTGAAAATATAATTATAATGTGAACTTTGCTGTGACAAGCATTAATTTAGACTGCATTTAGAAATATTTACTTTTATGGATTTTTTTTGTATTTTCTTTTGTCGTTTTATGGATTTTCTTTGGTTTTATAAGGCATTTCGTTAGATATTCTTCTACTTGCAATGGAGTCAGGGATTATTAATTCCAGGTGACCACCAGCTTATTTGTTGTAATGTTGTATTTTTCGTACATGTTGTTTTAAATTTTGATCTATAATAAGAAAATCATCGAGATAATCAGCTTAATCTATATCATATACGTATTTCCTTGTCTCCGACTTCATTAGCGTTACAAGCTTTTCAAGTCAGTTACTATTAGAGAAAATTTCGATTATAAGTACTTAAACATTAACTTATCTTGTATAAAATTATTATTACGTTTTAGTGCACGTATATAAAGCTTGTTTTTAATAAGCTTTATTATATTTTGTCACTTTTAAGGCCTTTCCTTTTCTCTGTACCGATAAACAGAGCTTTAAACAATCAGTTACCTGGTGTAACATCATTAGAACATTCGAACAAAGACGCGCCCTTTCACTATCTGGGGATTGATCTTCATATTGATCTACTAGAACTTTTAACGATACTGCAAAACTTTCGACGTAATAGATTAAACTTTCGTTGGTTAGCTGATAGAAGTATTCATTAATTAATTAATCATCAGTCTAATAATATTCACACTGGAAATGGTCCCTATCTATTGTACGGGCCATAACGAATGCAGATATAGCCTAGATTTTTTTTGCCATTTATCCAATGCCCTTATGCAGAGCGACCACCTAACTCTTAGCCTTGATTCTAGCCAGGATATGACATCTTAGCGATGTCTTGACGATATTTTGTTTCATGTTGCTACGTTGAGATGTCGTTTGGTGAATAAATTTAGGTAAATTGAGAAATTTGTTACATTAATCCATCATCATCATTCTATATCGTTCGTTTGTCCTACTTTTGAACATGTTGTCATAGTAGTAAAATGAAATGAAATCTCGTATCCTATGACTAGTCATAGTTTCTAGAAACTTAGGCGGTATCTTGCTGTTCTATTGTTAAAAAAATATTATTAAGAATGGAAAACCTTAGTGAGTAGATAGGTCTTTTGTATTTGAAGAATTAGTTCTAGAAATTATTGCTATTTGCCTTATAGAAAAATATATAGGTAAAACATTTCAGGTATCCGAAAAGGTATTGAACCACAAATTTGAACCATGCCTATCGGAACACAGGTGTGAGTCCTGAAAGCTTATAAAATGTTGTGGTTATATTCTACTGTTAACTTTGCCTATCAAAGTAATTGTAAAATTCAACAAATAAGTTATAAATACCGACCGTCTTTATAACTTATTTGTTGACTGTCGGTATTATATGCTAGTAATTCAACAAATAATTAACTAATAAAATGCGGAACATGCGGAATCGAACTCACGACCATGAGATTACTAGTCGGAGCTCTTACCGCTTCGCCAGCTGCTGGTTGGTAAACTTGTCAACATTTATAGCTTATATGGTGAAAGGGTCCCGAATTTTTTTTTTCTAAACTGTTGGTCATCTGGAGTTCCCACTTTGGGTAATTTTATCTCTAACCAAGTCCTACATGTGATGACGAGTAGGGAATGCCCCCTTGTTAGTGTAAGTTACATTTTATGTTTTTGAATCAAGTGATTAAAGTTAAAAGGGTTATAAATATTTATTGTCACGTGACAAAGCATGATCATCGATTAAATGTAATTTAAGTTCAATGTTTCACTTTTGTTTCGGATGTAACGAAATAGCGAATTATTATTCCATAGTAGGTACCCTCATCATATTCCCGTTATAGGTAAGTACGATAACAATATCAAAAGGAATGGCTTAAAATATGATACGCAAAGTGAAGTCAACCTAAATCGAATACGTTACAAATTAGCTCTTGCTCATATCATTTTGTTAACGACCTCCATGAATGGGTTTTTTGTGAAGAATACAATGAAAGAAACAAGCGATTGTTTATTTTATTAGGAAACCTAAGTTTACAACGTTAGTCAATATTTTCCAATGCCTGATGAAATACCTCCTTACTTCATTACTCAATGTGCCGATAGTCTTGTTTTTCCCTTATACGTGATTTTTAATAAGTCTCTGAACTCTGGTCAATTTCCCAATCTCTGGAAAGTTGCTAAAGTAGTGCCCATCCATAAAAGTGGCGATAAAAACAATATTATAAATTATAGACCGATTTCTATTTTATCGATAATCCCGAAAGTTTTTGAAGCTTTAATATGCCCGCATTTTTATAACCATATAAAACACCTAATTACAGATCGGCAACATGGGTTCTTAAGGGGTAGATCAACCAATACAAATATCTTAACTTTTACCAATATGATTGTGGAAAGTATGGACGCTCAACTGCAGACTGATGCCATCTATACTGATTTCTCTAGGGCGTTTGATAAAATCAGCCACAAAATACTGTTATATAAGTTGTCGAAGTATGGATTCTGTGGATCTCTTTTGCTTTGGCTGCAGTCATATCTGTTTAAACGTTCTCAGTATGTTGTTGTAAAAGGCTATAAATCTCATTCATACTTTACTACGTCAGGTATAGCTCAGGGTTCACACATTGGGCCGTTGCTCTTCAATATTTTCATAAATGACATTGTCGATGTAGTCAAGCACAGTGAAATATTTTTGTATGCGGATGACCTTAAACTGAGTAGGGCGATACGTTGTGCGGGGGATGCCAAGCTATTGCAATTGGACTTGGATGGGTTAATGGATTGGTGCAAATACAATAATATGTCTTTTAACATTAAGAAATGTTACCATATTAAACTGACCAGAAAATCCAATATACTGGAAACAAGCTACAAAATAGATAATATAACTCTTGAGGAGGTAGATACTATTCGTGACTTAGGCGTTATAATAGATTCCAAACTAACGTTTATACCTCACATCAATGATATTGTTGCTAGGGCCTCAAGAGCTCTTGGATTTATTATAAGAAATGGCAAAGTATTCAAAAACCCAGTGACGAAGATAATTATTTATAATAGCTTTGTTAGAAGTGTGCTGGAGTACTGCTCGGTGGCTTGGTCTCCTCAGTACTGTGTTCATCAACTGCGCATTGAAAGAATTCAGAAACGCTTTACGCGACATCTTGCATTTAGAAGTGGTTTAAATGTGAATCGCGGTAGCTATAGAGAAAGACTTCGTTACTTTCAAATGGATAGTCTTATTCAAAGGAGGAATATGCTGGACCTAACTTTCCTGTACAAGATTGTTAGAAGTGTAGTGGATTGCCCTCAGCTTCTAAGTGGGATCAACATTAGGGTCCCTCGCAGACCGCCGCGCTGTCCGGTACCAGTCTTTGGCAAGCCATTCGCCCGCACTAACATATTGGCACATGCTGCGGTGTGTCGCTTGCCTGATGCTTACAATAAATTGCCGGGAGTTGTTGACATTTTTCATGATTCGTTTCATATGTTTCGAACGACGGTCTCGGAATTGTTGAGAGATGCGTAGCCTGTTGTGTTTTTAGGGATATTTTTGCTACTGTTGGGTTTTGTGTTGTAAATTGTCGATTATTTGAGTTTACTTCTGTACTGTATTTTTGAAAGCATGATGTGGCCGCCTTCAATAGAATTTTACAATTTAGTATGTTTAACTATGTGATCTTGAATGTAAGATTTATTGTAATTTTTCACTGGTGGTCCAAATAAATAAATAAAAAAAAAAAAAAAAAAAAAAGCATGTTGATAGAGATGTATGTAGGTACCGTGGGCTAATTGTCTGATTTAAAAATATATAGCAATCGATAAGAAAGGTATAGAGATTGTGATACCGATTTATGGAGTTATGTAACGTTTAAAGTCGCAATCGCTTTTAGTACAAAATAAAACTTATCTAAATCCGTCGAAAGATTACAGTTAGCGTTCAACTCTTTTATAGCTTCGAAAGATATATGCATCTTAAACTTGTGTAAGACAATTGCAATTAACGTGAAATCAATGATAGAGGTTCGTTCAATATCCATCGCATCACATGTCCAATAGTTGTAGTGTGAAGATCGTGAATATATTTCAAATGTCAACTTCTTATGCTGTGATGTTATATTTTTTACAGAACACCAATGCTGGTATATTTCAGTAGATAGGTACCTCGAAGTGCATTTAGACAATCCCTCCTTGTCTTGTATATAAACTCGTTCTTACACCCGTAACCACACGTACACGACGATCCATAGATCTTACACCCGTTATGTGCTTGCTCAGGCTCGCAAGCTTGCACGGTCACTGAAACATAAGAAGCAATGGAATTAAAATTATTTACTTATTATTAAATTAGCTACCTAAATATATACGATATTTCGTTGTGGATCAGATTAATCATAAAATTATTGCATTTTTTATGTAAGATTATCGAGTGCTGATAAATTCATTTTATGTACTCTTGTAGGGTCGCTACGATATTATCTATTGTCTTATCTTAATCAAGACTGTGCAATAAACTCAAGTCTGCTTTTTAAGTTTTGAGAACATGGGGACTTAATACAAACATTTAATTTCAATTTACGAAAATGATTAAAGATGGTATCATCAGTCATTGATGGTAGAATATGTCATCAAAAGCCTAAAGCAAGCTGTTTTAATAAAATATGTAATAAAAAAGCACGGCGAATCGAACGTCGAATTTCCAATGAATTTGTGTACCTACTATTATACTGATACAAAATTTTGTGTGGGCAGTTTACTTCTTAAAATTATTAAAATAGTTTCATTAGCGTTTTTCATGTAGAGATATAGCGACCGAACAATGGTAAATTAAAACTTGCTTAATATACATATTATCCTACAAAGAATGTTGAAAAGAAGTCTGTTAAATAGTTTAATCTCAATAATAATACGCTCAGCTTTTCGCGAAGCTTAATAAAAATAATCGCCAAGCATAAGTTTTCTTATTAAAGAAGTTGGTAGCTACCTTCGATAAAATTACTTGAATAATAAAAGGATAAAGGTTGTATTTCATTTAAACAGTTATAAGTAATAAATAGGATACACTTCCCATTTTCATTAAGGTATTTTACTCACATGAGCACGAAAATGTAGTATTTATTAATTCGCAGGGCAGATTAAAATAATTTAATAACGACATTACCGATTGTTATTCCAAAGCTATCGTAAGCTTTAAAAGTATTCTATTTTTTAGGTAATTAGATTTCTAATTATAATAAATTACTTTAATGTATTTTATATGTACGTACTATAATAATTTATGTTCTTTTACAGATAAGCCCACTTTTACCGCAGAAAGAACTTATTCGGCGTAATTTTTATTAGTACTATTGCAGGAGGAAACAGTACACTTTTTTTTTGTGTAAAAACAAGCTTTTTATTGACTAAAGGATATTTTGATTATTATAAGGAATACCTGGCTTAAAGGTGAAAGTCCATATGTGAGCACACACGCACCGGCCGCACGGCACGACACGCAACGGATTATATTAAAAATCACTATTACGTCATCAGCATAATTTCACCGTCAAAACGATACATCTATGAAAAATGCGTCTGCAGTGTACGTACACATCGTCAAATCCGTGCACGCAAAGTGTTGCGTCTCGTGTGGCCGTTGCGTGCGTTTGAATTAGAAGTTAAGGTGACGAGTTTATTATTTAAGTACTACTTCCCTTTGTTTATATTTTATAACTATAGGCAATTAAACTACAATTCTCCATTACGCTTCGAGGTATCACGTTGAAATTTTAAAATAGATTTTATGTCTGCAATACTTTGAAGCTGTACAAGTCAAACTTCTAATTCAACACGTGCAATATAAATGGTTGTGTTAATACGTATTTGACTTTCGTAAGGTATAAAACTTTGTTTCCGTTTACCTAGAATCAAGAAATTTGGCAAGCAACAACGTCTTATTTAAAGGGAAAATTCAGAAAATTGTTATTTAATGTCGCAATCCGATAAGAACAATATTAAATAAACTTGCAGTCGGTAATATGTCCACTCAAATGTCAATGTATGGTATAACCAGTTTCACAACAGCAAAGTTAAGTTTGTCTTTTGTTTCACAATTTCGTAGTTTTGGAACATCTGTTATTTTGTATGGTGCGGGAACAAGAAACAAATTTACAAATTTTGGTACTTGGTCGATTCTTTTAATAAGAAACAAAATAAGTCGCCGTATATTTGCCAATGCGTTTTTATAATTAATTCAGCGTCAAACTCATTTTTCTATCTGTTTTGACTTTGGACTGGGTTTTATCATGGTAGTCAAACAGTGTATACGAGGGTCAAACTGAAAGTTCTTAGAAAATCAAAAACTGATTACATTAGCCAGTTATTAGTTTTATTATATCTTTTCAAAATATTGTCCATTCACGTCAATACACCGCTGCATGCGATGGAACCACTGGGAAAAGCACTTTGCCCACTCGTCCTTAGGGGTCTCTTCAATGGCATCGCGATACGCAGCCACCGCTTCTTCAGCATTCATAAACCGCTTTCCTTTAAGTTATTCTTTAATTTTTGGAAATAAATAAAAATCACAAGGCGCGAGGTCGGGGCTATACGGCGGGTGACCCAGTAATTCAACGTTTGATGTCGCCAAATAGTCGATCGTTCGCTTGGCGGTGTGCGACGAGGCGTTGTCGTGGTGAAGGAGGATCCTACTGCGAGGTCGTTTCTCTCGAACTTTTTCCAAGACAAGTGGCAAACAATTGGTAGTGTACCATTCTGCAGAAACTGTTTTTTGATCCTCTAACACAATTGTTGCAAAATGACCTATCCTTCCAAAGAACGAGGCCACCATTTTTTTTCCCGCACTTCGATCTCTCTTCACTTTAGTTGGCAACTCCTCGAAAGGAAACACCCACTGAGCAGATTGTCTTTTGGTTTTAGGATCATAACAGTAAATCCAGCTTTCGTCACCTGTTAGTATATCGAACACAGCATTTGAGTCACCTCCGTTAAATCTTTCAATCATTTTACGACACCAATCCACACGATGGAGTTTTGAAGCCTCAGTCAAATTATGAGGTATCCACCGGGCGCAAAGCTTCCTGACCGCTAAATGTTCGTGGAGGATTTTGTGCACTTGACTCATACCGATGCCTAAGCTTGTCCGAATCTGTTGATAGGTCACTCTTTTGTCAGTCTCTATCATACGCCGCACAACACAGATGTTATCTTCAGTCGTCGCCGTAGAAGGCCGTCCCTCACGTAAATCATCAGTGAGATTAGTGCGACCACGTTTAAACTCATTAAACCAGTTGTAAACAGTCGCACGAGATGGGGCTTCATCGTGAAAGGCCAATCGTAGTCTATCATAACTTTCTTGTTGACTTAAATGACATCGAAAGTCATAAAAAATCATTGCACGAAAATTTTCTCGTGTTAAATTCATGATGACGTGACACAGACAATTTTCAATTTGCCGCCAAATCGTAAAACAAATGACAAATGAATGAAATATATACTCAGTAATATTGGCAAAGAGTTATATTTTCAAATTTTTGAATTATTTTTTTATTATATTGTTTATAAGTGGCCAGTTCTAAGAACTTTCAGTTTGACCCTCGTACATTTAGATTTATACTTTTACCATGGTGTTCAAAAAGCCTTTAAAAGAAAAGAATGGAAATGTTCTCTATGATTAGGTTTATTGTTTAAAATTTCATACACTACGAGTTTTTCTTGGCTCACGGAGATCAGCCCCGCGATTCTGTAAAAATTCAGACCCGAATTCGAATTCACTTTGGTGTCAGAATTCACTTCAAAAAGCGGCCTCAGCTCAACATTAAATTACTAATAACGTTTCGTGGCATAAGTAAAGTTAGTTTTAAAATGACATAGGAATAGAATATCTGAGACATTATATATTCAATCAATTTTGTTTTGTGTTTTTATAGAAAAAATGGAATCAATAGCATTACTACACTCACTGACTAGAATTCGGGCACATGAGTGTATTCGAAATCGGGTCTGGATGTTTACAGAATCGCAGGGCAGCTTAGCTATTCTGCGTCGAGGACAGCACTTTCACAGCAAAGGGGTTCAATTAAATATAACTTACTCCAAAATGTTATAGATACTACAACGAAAATGTCATGTGTCATACGTAGTTCGAGATCATGTTGCGTGTATAACATCGCATTGTTTTATCGCAGATATAATACAATAAACGTTTATTTGTGCAAACGTTCTTGTTAGGATGTTTTTATCAGCTGTCGCTTCCGTCGGCAGTTGAACATCCTTGCAAAGAGAGCTCATTGTCGACGATGTGTTGCATCCTATATTTTGTAGTTATCGATTTAAAAGTATATCGAGATATCGTTTCTAAGAATGATTGAATGATTTAGAAGAGTAATTGTACGTTCACAAGATTTCCTTATTTATTTTTCTATGTAAGATTAACTGGTAGGAAGAAATCTTTTATAATCAATGCTCCATTAATAGAAAAAATATATTCATTTTTGAGATCCTTCAAATTATAAATGTGTACAAGACAAGAAGCCAAAGGTATGGTGGTGTGCTAATGATAATAATAGAGTGATATTTGCTTGCGACAAATAATTATCATTGTAGCGTTAAATATTTAAAATTAATTGCATATAAGAAACCTGAATACGAAATACAAAACAGTTGGTTCTTATAGATAAAATATATTTTTTCAATTTTCTCTCCGCGTCATCGTAAAAACATATTGTATAATCAGTTATGTTACCAGACATGTAAAATATTTTATCATTCTGGGAGTAGTACAATAGAAAATGATCCGTAAATATATTGGTATCATGTGTATTTATTTCCTCGATATTAATGTTTGTTTAACCTTTCGAGGTGACTAAAATAATAAGAAAAATATCAACTCACAAGAAATGACTTATATGCCTGTTTTTTTATTGGAATTAATTGATTCTCGAAACCATCAACGAAAATATAAACATAGTATCTATCTTTAGCTTATTATCTACAACAGCTAAAACCCGAAATATAGTATTGAATATATATTTCGGTTCTTATAGTAGAAAATTTGTTAATATTTATTGAAGTGTTAATATTTTCAAAACCATGTATCATTATAAATATAAAATATATTTAAGTTCTCATACTTCTACTTCTATACTTCTTTTATTAATATGTCACATACTTATACTACTTATACTTCTTTTATTAATATGTCACATAATATAATTGGAGAAACTTTCTTTTTACCACTATTTTACCCCTCAAAATTTGTACTAAATTTCAACTCGATCAGTCCTCACGCGATGCGTGACGAACTCGAGAACATTTTGTCTACACAAATATCGCTTTTATCGGGTGCGCCCATATTTGTATCATTTCACTTTAGAGCAGATTGCTTTGCGTACACGAAACTCATTATTTTTGAGGTTCGGGACGCGAACAATATGATTCTTGATTCCAATTTTATAACTCTTGACAACCTTTTTGTTTTACATGCACCAATATACAACCAATATTGTACTATTAGTTTAATGTTTTAGAGAATGCTTTTCATAAGCCCTGCATGGTACACTGACTGAATTTCTCATTGATTTAAAATACTTTTAAAGCTTTAACTAGAGTACGCAGCTTTATCACGGATATATAAATAATTTCTCACTGGAGATGGGACAAAGTTCAAAGTTGCCAAATATGTAGGTGGGTGTGTGACAAAAGCTACCGCTAATCTCTAATCTAAATTTGTAAATTTATTAAAACTTTCCCAGTTTTGTATGGTGATTACAAAAATAGATACAAATAAAATATATTAGTTGCTATAAATATCGTAAGAATAAGAGCTTAGAAATAACGTTATAAAGAAATCATACAATGCCGAACATATATTAACAAAGTTAGTTCGTTACAAAGGTTGAAAACGCTTTAAAATGAAATATAGTTCGTAACTGCATTTGAAATAGGAAAATGAAAAAAAAAAACGTATAAATTGGGCATTTTGACATGTTAAAGGACGTGAGCGTATGCTTACTAGTGCAAACTCATGCTTACTCATGCGAACGCATGCTGCCCATGTGAACGCATACATATAACATATTGCGTCTGTAAGCATATCTAGCATCTTTCCATACGTATGTGATACCAGTATTTGACTAACAATGCAGTTACCTAATATCATCCAGTTGTACATATATGAATAAATATGTGGAACTCAATGCTTAGTTTAAGCAACTTTTGGTTTTGTAATGTGAACGTTAGTTATTCAGTTTTAAGGCATTAATATACATGCTAATACTATATAATTGGACTATTTTTAAAAGTTTTGAAATATTTTTTGTTTAGTAACTTCCGTATAATAAATTATACCCTATTTCCATTATCACGATTAGGAAAAAAGCTAATCAGATTAATGGTCCATTATTGTAAATAAGTAATTTTCCTACTAATATTCAAAGCAATGAATTCCATTGTAAATTTATCAAAAATGTGTTTTAATTGTGTAAACGATTATATTAATGTTACAAAAAAGTTTCAATATTTTACTACAGTTTCGAAAATAACAAATAATTACGTACTCAAATCGTGAATATAAAAAAACTTTTTGTATGCAAATAACTTGACAGGTACGATTCGAAAAAAAAAGAAAAATTGATTAAGATGATTCTTTATAATAAGTACAGAAATATTTTTTATTAATAAGCAATCTAAAAGAGTTGTCATACAGTTTTTAGTCTTATTCACTAGAATTTGAAATCATATTGGAATGGAGTGAACAGAGTTATGTATAACTAAACAACCATTTTTAGTTTCTATTTGTAAAGGTCGTATTATGTATATTCATTTTGTAATTAGATGGTTTTTGTAAATATCATTTCTTCTATTAGAGCTGGTAAGTTTCCTTCGTTTGTTTTTTTTATCAGCCAATAAAAGTAATGTACAAGTGGTAGGGAAAAAATATTGTATCATTCGAAAGTGTTAAAAAGAAAGGAAATTACTTTTTAGACATGGTATTTCTGAAATAAAATATAAAACGTAGAATAAGTTTGTTTTTATTAAAAACATGGTTAATGACTGAATATTATTACTTTGAACTTGGAAAAACACAAAGAAAGAGTAAACGAGATGTTGTGGTGCATTGTTATTACTTAAAGCTCGCCATATCGCACTTGCATTGAACGTTAAAATTGTTTAAAATTTAAACGATTTAATGAATCTTCTTTCCTATTTTTCTTTCGTTTCACATAAATAGGTATTTTATTGGACTTACGTAGGCAAGCGACGATAATGAGAAGAAAAGCAGCAAGGGCGTTCATCTTCATCAGAATACGACGGGGCACTGATACCAACTTCCTAGCCTGGTGTGAATGGCCTGATATCAATTGCGTATCGAGCCACCGACCAGTGATGGTCACTCTGCTGATATAAAATTGGGTTAAATAGGCAAACTATTTGTTACTTTTTGTTACGAGATTATAATAATATAAGTGGTCTTAATATATTTGCCATTATAAATTTACACAAAAGATTTGATGTCTACCGTTTTATTCATTTGCATAATTCAATTATTTATCTTGGAATTAGGTACTATTAGTCCACATCCCCTTTTTCATAACCGGTATTCATTCTTCTCCATCCAAAGGTAGTCTGGTAATTTTTGATAATTTCGCTTTTAGCCGCGAATTACTGCACTACCTGGTTCAAAACTGTGTGATAATAAATTATTATTATTAATGAATATTCACGATTGCTTTTAAGTAATGAAAGGTTGACTTTTACAATTTTTTAAGATTAATGAAAAACGTATTACAAAGAGAGTCCGTTTTAGACAACATTGTCCTTTAATGCAACAAGATAATATTTTACATAAAAATAAAAGCATTAAAGAAAAATATTGTTTAACTTTCAATGAGAAAAAGCTGTGGCCAGCGCACGAAACAATTATATGAACAATAAAAAAGTGCCTTCGTCTAATCCCTTGTATCCATAAATCTTACTGCCTTTGCATGGGTTACATTTAAATTTTTTTTTTGCCTTTGTGTTATTTATTTAAGATATTTTATATCGACAAAATATGCTGTAATTCTTGGTACATTGGACGACATATTAAAAATTTGCAAGTGTGAGGTATATTGTGCTTTTGTATTCCTTCATTACTTGATAAAGTGATTTTTTAGAGTTTGATTGCCAGTATTTGTACCTGTCGTTTGGCATAAATTCCTTAACTTACAGTAGCTGATATTAATCATAATATAAATATTTGAAAGTTTGAAACTATTTAATCGATCTGCTATTACAGTTGATCCGGCTATTTTCATGAAACTTTTGTAAAGAGTATCTACCTCTCCTAAATTACTATTTATAAGAGCACCTACCTTACCTTACCTACTAACTATGAAATCTAGCACCCACTTAACCAACTAGAAGCTTTGTGGAGTGACACATAAAGTAACTGCTGAAAAATATGAACTTATAATAATTCTTTCAATAGTAACTAAAGTGTATGAATTAACGGTATAAATTTCCAGTTTAATATGTATTAAATATATTGATGTGAATAATAACATGGGCTTAAATTGTCACAATTATTTCTCTAACTCGCTCAATACATTGATATAATTATGATTTCCATAAGCTTTCGACATAGAATGTCATCATTCTTTGAATTTCTATTCACAGATGTATGGAACTACTTACAAAATCGGTAGTGGTTTGTGTGATACGGGTGTTAAGTATGGGTCGAATCCTTATCCAATTGATCGAGGGGTCAATTGTTAAGCTATCGTTATAGTTAGATATAGTAAAATTGACAGTTATAAATTACTCAAATTTTCTTTATTGGAAGTTTCGAGCGATATTGTTTATGACTTATTACAACAATATATTAGATTTTGCTTAGTCAGCAAAACCAGACGCAATTTAATGTCAATATGTATGTTTTAGATGACTGTCTCCCGTTGAAGTTGACTCATGAAGTTCTAACTCATAATAAGAGGAAGCATGAAAGTATTATTCTTGAGTGTAGTCCTTGGACCTTATACGAACATCATAAAATTCCATGAACAATTGACACAAAATTCTATAGGAAATGATATAAAAAAATTGAAATTTTTAGGTTAAAGCAAATGGTATATAATATTCGTTAATAAGACTTCGTGGTAGATAATAATACAATTTATGTAAAAATAAAATCCGACTATTAACAGGTAACTAATGTCTGTGGCAGATATGCCCAAGAAAGGCTTGTTTTATTTAGAACCGTAGCAAACGAAAATGAATCGAACTTGACACATTTTTTATCTCACCATGATTAAAGCGGCAATGAAAATATTGTCAAAACTGTATGCGTTTAGGTCATTGTACATAACATATACAGGCTTACGCACATATATATTTGTAATTCTATTAATTGGATAATATTGTATATTTTATTGTATAGTATATATGAGAACAGATAAACCTAATATAAACATACAGTTACAAGTAATACCTGTATAATCGGTCGCATATATGCTACTTATATTTAACTCATTCCGTGAAGACGTGTTTGTCTCGAGTATCTCTCAATAATGGCTGGACTAAATCGTACAAGATACATTATAGGTAATTTTAAATTAAATTAGCTACCGGAAATCTAAAAAGTATGATAGCATTGCGAATGCAGATGTTAATTTTCCTATGAATATTATAAATGCTAAAGTTTGTGAGAATGGATGTATGTTTGTTACTCTTTGACATAAAAACTACCAAACGGATATTGATGAAATTTTGCATACGAGTAATTCGGAGACAGTATTAAAATTTTGCTACTTTGGCTACTTTTTATTCCACCGATTGGTAGAATAAAAGTACCGTCATGATATTCTGTAGGTAAGTCACGCGGACGAAACCGTTGTGGAAAAGTTAGCCCAAATATATTTTCAAACTTATACATAACCCAAAAACACTGAAAGTTTTTATAAAATAACAAAACTGAATGCAAATGTAATCTGTTGATATTTTCATTGCTTATCTGATAAGACTCTGATTCTTTATAAGCACCGTCGCATGCGATGGATCCATTTTCTGAAGAAGTGCGTCCGCTCTTTTTGGGGATGTTTCCTATGCCTTTTTCAAATGTAGCCACATCATTTTCAAGTTTCATAGATCGACTTTTTGTAGTTGATGTTAAGGGGGGCATTAAAACGAAACCAGTTTCTTACATGTGACATACAATAATGATAAAGTAATAATTGATTGTCATCGTCTAAACCATTCATAGTATCGTATCTCTGGAAGGAAAAGATTAGTTGAAATATGTAGCTAACGTCGTTTATTGAATTACAATAAATACCTATAAATTTGATGCATGGTGTGTTTTTATTTTCCATGAATTTTCAAAGGGCGTGAAAATGGATTTGACTAGAAAATTTTCCACTTCAGAAGGCTCAAATGTGTCATCATAAAATTAATAAGATCTCATTTCGATTGAAAAATAAAAAAAATATTTTGCGTTAAAAAATCAATTAATAATCAAAATTGCCAAAAGGTCAACTCAACAATAATACAGGGAAGCCTTTCATATGCTTCTTAGGGAAGTATTTCGATTTGACAAAATTTTTAAACCATTTCACACCTTTCAAAAATAAAAGTAAATCTAGGATTAAAAGTGTAAACCGAGGTCCTTTCAGTTTTTTCCCATTAGTATGGAAACCGGCACAGCGTCCCTAGCGATAACTATCAAGATTACTTTACATACAATATTTTGCACGTGGTGACTATAGTGAATTCGTTAACATAATAGTACATTACGATATTAGTGCGTTATGATAGTGCGAGGCGGAATTTCAGCTCGAGCCGAAGGCGAGGGCGTAATTGAGCCGAGCATGTTATAACCAATACGCACGTATATCGTACGACGTTTTTTAACACATTTGCGAGGAAACAGAAAAAAAAACATTAAATAAACTCAATCTGTGAATGTACACTGTTGCTTTCCCGCCATTTTAACAGCGCGCTAGCGCTGCCTACTGACTGGCGCCGCGCGGCGATTAGTTCGAAATTTGAATAGCAACAGCGCGCGAAATGGCAAATAATACTGTTATGGAATTTGTATGGACTATAACTTAACTATTTGCTTTGGTAACACACGCGTTTTTTATGACCCGCTTTACATATTTAAAACCGGTGGAATTACATCAGCTTTACGAGCAAAGGTGTTAAAAAAACTCTTGCAATGATTGAGTGTATTATAAACATAGTGGTATAGAATGAGGCTTTATTATTTATTTATTTATTTGAGCAACCAACAAGGTCAAACACTATACATGCAAATAAATTAATAATAAATAACAAAGACAATGTGCTGCCTTAATTAAAGGTTACCACGACATGCATATGAAAAAGTAACCTGGAAGCGTGTGGCTCCAACAATAAACAAGCTTAAATGTAATTACAGTATAACATACTTTTATAAATTAAAAGTAAAGAAACTTAATAGGTTAAATCTAAAAGTGACTATGGTTAATAAAATATATTGCTATTGACATCAAGCTACACATTTAATTAAATATTTATTATTTTATTTTAATTATTATAATGCTAATTTTAAGATTTTTTAATTATTACAATGCCAATTTTAAGATTATAAAGTGTCAAATCTTATTGTTATGTGGCCGCAACGATAGTCGTAAAAGCATCGAGCCCAAATTTTCTCTAGTCAAATCCATTTTCACGCCCGACGCTGACGAACATTTTAAATTGCCCCTTTTTTGTATAAACAAATGATATATGAACTTTATTAAACACTACATATTATTATAGAGATTTTATTTCAAATCTAAAAATTATTTTTTAATATAAAATTATCTGCATAATATGTTACATGAAATTTAAACAACACAAGAAGGGTTACATGTTTAAAATTATTCCTTATAAGTTAGTTTTGATCTAATAAGTATAAACTCATTAATTTATGACGCAACTCCTGTTAAGAAATTCCGATGATTACTTTCATTTACGCAAGTGCTATTAAGCAAGCATGTTAATTAAAAGAAGGGCAGGAGGTAAGGTTTAAGAGATGGGGCAATTTTCCAAGCTTAGAATGAAGTTTCTTTTTCTAATGACTACTAATTACTTAACGAGTTTGGGCACAGATTAAGATACGATTAAAAAATATTTCCTTTTTAATCGTATCTTAATCTCGTGGTTTGATATATTAATAAGTAACTAGAATCGGATTGCCTAGCTAAATCAGGGGCATAATTCCTATTACTGTGCATCATTTTTAGGGTTCAGTACCCAAAGCATAATACCTGGACCCTGTTACTAAGATTCCGTTGTGCATCCGTCTATTTGCCACCAGGTCGTATCTCATGAGCCGTGATAGTTTTACAGTTGAAAATTTTACAGATGATGTGTTTATGTTGCCGCTATAACAATATATACTAAAAACAAAATAAAATAATATTGAAGGTGGGGCTTTCATACAACAAACGTGATTTTGCTTTTTGTATAGAGATTGGTACGGAATCCTCCGTGCCCGAGCCTGACTCGCACTTGACCGGTATTTTTTAAACAATTCCTCTTTCTTATTAGCCTTCAAATCTAAAACAAGCATTAATGGAGAGAACAAGTAAAAAATAAAAATTGCTTTCCTTTTAGGCTAATAATTAGTTTGCCAGGTATAAACAGTAAGAGAGGTTCCACAATTTGCCATCATTCGGTATAAAAAAATATCTCTTCTATTTAAGTGATTGATATGTTTTCGATTTAGTATTAAGAATGTGTATATGACATAATAAAATATTTAGTAAAGACCTCTGATTTAGTTAGGCAAGCCGGTTCTTAATTATATATACGAGTATCTTAAGTTAAAATACTCTCAGAAGAAAGTGGAAGTACTAATCACAGTTATGAAAAGAATCATTGCCCATTTAGGACATACAGAAATAATAAATATAATTTTTTTAAATAGATAATTATAGGAAAAATAGGAAGAGGTAGTATGAGGATCAACTGACTGGACAATATAAAGAAACTAATGTCGACGATGACGAAGATAGAGTTGATGTTGTAGAGATGGTATGGTATATGAAGAGAAAAGAAAAATTCTGGAAAATCAGTGAACATAAATACATAAAAAACCCACGTCGCCTTCGAAAATATAACCTTCCCCTTTTCAATTTTGAAGTCGGTTACGAATAATTAAAAAAAAAAATAATGGAAGAGTAAGAATATAAAACTATTAAATGGTTCAATAAAAGCAAAATATAGGTATTAAATTACTGAGTCCTTACTGTAGGTAATAATTTTGATTCGAAAAGATATTAATATTTTATATTTACTTGGGCCAACCTCAATCGTTATCCGACATTGTACAGTAGACTTAATACTTAGTTTTGTTAAAAGGTATGTGTAGATAATTAATTTGCAAGAAAATATGGCAATTCAACTGTTACTAAACCTTTTTTTTATCGATAATACTTATCTATAAATAGCTATAAATTAGGCGGGCAAAATAGCGGAAAAATAGCTAGTATTAAATATAAGCCTAGAAAATTCTTCCTTAGTTTGTATCATGTTACAGTAAGGTAAGTATGTCTATGTAAGAAATATATAAAAGGCTTTGATAAGTCAATAGGAAAAGTAGTTTCCGCTACGCCCTCGATTTTCACAAAGACTTCCATTTTCTTTTGTGCAAGAAATACAATCTTTTTCTGAACTAAGCGTTACAATAGTACTATGTAATTATAAATAATAATAACCTACTTTACACTCAACAAGGCTCAAAATAAAACACAAAAAATATATTTTTCGTTTATTAAAATAATTATCACAATTTAATAACCACGGACGTGGTATAAAATTTTACTCAAAAATATAGAATTGATGTATTAAAAAACAAAGTCATTTAAAAAATAATATGACCAATTATACGCCACTCATGGTAAATTATAATACGATAATAGCTTTATAATTATACGTTTGGTAATTTATTCATGGGTAAGGATAATTTCACTATGAGGTTTATAAAAGAAGCGAATTCGTGTAACTACGTTTATTTTTGTTAATGTTAAAATTAGTTGTTTTGGAGTTGTTATTTTTTGTTGTCTAATAATGGCTTCATTTAATCATGTCATAGATAAAGATGGAAGTTATATAATTACCAGGTTCCTAAATACATTTACTGTTCGCATAAATGTCTTTAAAAGGTCTTTTTTTAATGAATATAATTCTACATGGACTGTTGCGTGGTGTAAATATTTAAAAATGGAGCGTCTTTTCCTTCTTGCAACCAATTATCTGGTGAATATTGGTTATTCAGTTTTTCTACGATGTGAAAAGTGTATGCATGACGACTTTTTTCAGATCTGTTGTGCGCACTCTTGTGTACTAGATTACCATGAAGTAGAATACAGGTTCCTGAAAAAAATATATATTTATGTTATCATTATTAGCCTATAAATAACTCCATTCATTATAACATTAGAAAAAAGAGGGTCATAGAATCAGCAGTTCAGAACATTTTATTTTCAAGATATTTTAAAATATATATATTAGTTTATTTAAAAACTTTGAACATTAGGTAATCTGAAAGAGCTGGGCAATTTTCCATTTTTTTACGATACCTCGGGGTTATATATCGGAGGCCAGCATTTTATAAATTCATCTTTTACTCCCAAGCCAAAATGGAAATAAAACTGAAACTATCTATCTGTTGTTTTGATAAATTCTAATTGTAAGTGTAATTAGTAAACTATTGATAAAGACATTGGAAAAACTTCCTGAAATGTCATTGGTTCAGGGTAGGCATGGGGGCTTAGAGTGTAATTTTTTTAGGCCACTCGGGCCTGCACCGGAATCGCAATTTAGCAAAACTTAACAACATAAAGATAACAACTAAAACAAAACTATAAGAAAACAACAATAAAACAGTAACTACTCAATCACCGAAAACGACAAAACAACAATAAAAGGCAGTAGCATTCACAATGAATGACAATACCAGATTACATATTTTGACTATTATGAATTAATTATAATCTGACAAAATTAAAAAGCTGTACTGCCGAAACGTTTGAAGGGATAAGGTAACGTTTTAAATTTGGTAGAGTTATAGTGATATGAGAATCATGCCGAAACTATCTAACCCTGCTTCTTTAGGTTCTTTAAGATGAACACTTTTTAATGTAATAATTATTAAATGTTTTAAGTCAGTCAAATACTCATAAATTTGTTTAATATATAGCTTAAAAGACTACGGTTAAGTATAGCAGCGGGTATTTAAGTGGATATGTAGCAAATTAGCTGATAGTCTTAAGAGTAACATGATTTTTGACATTTTGTAACAAAGTATACCATAAAAAAAAACCTTATTTTCATTCTGTCTAATGCTATAATGAATGGAGTATAGGTATCATTAGCGTGAAAGAGACGAAGAAATATGTAGTATGAAGAATGAAAATGCAATAGGAATAAAAGTGAAAACTGGAATGAATGGGTAATCTAAAGTTAAAACGGCCTAAAAAGGTGTTGTTGATAAAAGTTATTGAATTTGTACAAAGTCGCTTTTTCTGTCTCTATATCCCTATGTATGATTATGATGCGGTTTTTTTTCATAGATAGGGTGATTCAAAAGGTAGGTTTTTATGTATAATACAAGACCACACAGGCGAATCCGCTGGCGGAAAGCTAGTTTAAAATACTTCGGATTTGTTTTATTTATTTTTGAATTGCGCCAATTCGGTTGTGCTACTTTCGATATGAAATAATTGATAATTCTTGGTTGGATCTTCTTCTTGTTTAATGGCTTTCTCCCAACAGATTTATGTTCAAGGTCGAGGAGCAGCTATTTTGTTCTATTAAAAAAGCCCACAGCCTACCATGATAGTCGTTCAAATCAGCACACGTAACATTTGACAGACTCGAGGAAAGCCCTATAAACAGGTTACCTGTCTCTCGAGTTTGTCATGCAATGCGGACTGACAAATGCGTGGTAACGTTGACATATCATTATGCATACGACGCACGCGCGACTGACTTATCTACTCAAGTTACCAGTTTTAGAAATATAATTGATATCATTTGTATACCTTTGCTAACGGGAACCGGAGTGAAGCTGGATTGAGGATACACAGCTTCCGGTCTGTCAAATATAACGGCCGGATCTTTGTCGGGGTTTCGTATTAGACGTCTATGGACCCCTGATTTGTGGGAACCTCTTGCCATCCAGAGACAACCATTTTGGATAGTGGCGTCTTCTAGAGCGATCCAAAAACCTATTGGTGGTATGGGTTCTGTGTATAAGTATGTGGCATCTTGATGAGCTGTCACTATAACAAAGCAGACATGTTAACTTTGTAAATAACCATAGTGATTCAAATAAACAAACTAAAATACTAAAATATAATAATAAGGCTATACCTATACTAATTGCATATTGAGGCTGCAGCAGTTATAGGCAGGAAACTGCAGATAAAGCAAACACTCAAACAGAAAGAAATAAGTACGTTGACCTTGAGGCCTACATATAGATATTGTTAGCATTTTAGGTTCACTTTACTATTACAAAATTGCCTATATGCGTCTGCAGTATTTATAAAAATATTTTGTACATGCGTGAAAGAAATGTGTAGTGCCGGTTCATTGTACAACATTCTTGCTGATCAGCGACCGTGTTACAGGCGAGTAGTTGCTGCATCTGTAGCAATTAATACACACCAATCTGCATCGGGGCCGCAATGGGCTGTGGCCTAATCTCCCTATTAGATTTGATTTCATTTATTGAAAAGATTTGAGCCCCAGCATTAGCGGTGATAGACTGATGACGGTAAAGGCGAGTATTTACCTTTTATGGGTAATTTTTGTTCAAGCGTCATATCAATGATATTTAGAATTAACTTCGTCAATTGCTACCGAAACCATTATTAGTCATTATTCGAAAAAAGTTAATTCGGTAAAACTTTTTTCTTATCGAATACTCTCTAAATATCGAGCTCAAAAAGATTTTTTATAAGAATCCGGGAAATGCTTTAAGCACAATCGCGGCTAGAGATGGGACTTTGTCACGTCACCGCAGGTCTACCCACCAAAAACTCAAAGGCGTACCCACTCCTGGGAAATGAGACCTGGAAAGCTGTGCAAAGATTTTTTAAATAGACGTTATTATGCATTAAAGAGAAACTTTTTACTTTTTGTTTGGAACGAAAAACGCAAAAACTACTGAACCGATTTTGAAAAATTCTTACACTAGTATCTATATTACGAGTATCATTAAGTAATATAGAGTATATTTTTACCTCAAACCTCCTCGAGGAATAGTCATACAGAGTGTGACCGACTTGACTTACCCTCGGTTTCAATAATATACCGACAACCATCGGTAGCAGCTACCGTCCGTTTTTTGAGCTACCGACAACCATTCGTTTTTGCGTTTCACAATCATCGGTAGGCGCCTACCAACTACGAACGGTTGTCGGTAGCTCATTTTTTTAAATTGTAATCATATAATTCGAGGAAAAGGGTTCTTTCCATACAGCCTTGTCTTAGGTAATATTATGATTCTACTGAAATGTTAGTCTTTAACATTTAATAATTTCTTGGACAAAATCGAAATCGTAAGAAGGAAGACAGAGACATCAATAGGAAGGAGGTGAACTGATTAATTACGTACCGAAACTAAATTTGAAATTTGTTTTGGACTTATTATGACTTATTTATTATATGGTTAGGTTCTTAAAAGTGGTGTTATTGTGAAACAAATTATCGTCTGAAATGGAATTCTGATGTAAACAAAAGAGTTACCATTACAACAAATAGCTTAAATTTATCTCTTTAAAAGTTTTTAGTAATTTTTTTACTTGAACTAAAAATCCTTTTTTTAGATAAAAATAGGATAGAAATATTTTATGCTGCAGGCAAGAAACAGCGATTCGGAACATTTGGCTCATTGAATTAAACTTTTTTTTATTTAGTATGATTTATCGTAAAAATATTTATAAATAACACGTTTTCCCTTGTTAATTAAAAGAAAAGTAACAGTTTTTCATTAAAAAAATAATATTGTAGAAGAGCTTAATGTGTTTTGTAGTTCAGATTAGAAGAATTTAAGTTGTAATCATGTCAATGTTTGTACCTTAAAGGGCTCTTACTACAAATTAATTATTGGTCCAGATGCTTTCTACAATATGTTTCTTTTGAAAAACATAATGATTTACCTCTATATAATTATGAAAAACCTGGTTCTGATGAAACTGAATTTGCCACCTACTGTACAAGTATTTTATTCGATATTGATTTACAATTTAAAGTACTTAAAATTGAAAAAGTAATGAAATTCTTATAGGATAATGTCAACAAATCTTACATTTTTATCCCCACATTGTTATACAAAATTAGTTACACTAGAATGAGAAACCTTCTTTTTCATTGAAGTTGATAAAAAATAAGACTTTACATCTTATTTCCGTATTATTATTTGCAAAAATAAAATTATAATTAGAACCTTTTGGAAAATGTTTGCAACCCCTAAAATAACATCATTTGTTTATATAAGTTTTTTTATCTCGAATTAAATTTCGAAATATAAGTAAACGTGTGCAATACACATTTCATTGAAATGGTACGGTGCATGGTTATGAGCAGTGTTTTGTCAATTTAGTAGGTACAAGAACGCGAACGTGTTACTTTAACATACCTCACCATTTTTTAATATATTTCAATTTTTGCTCCAAAAAAAGCATTTAAAACGTCCAAGTGAACCTCAATGTGTATATTGTCACTTTAGACTAGGTTGTATGTGCTATATCCCTTTGCCTTTAATTATGCCAAAAAGTAAAGTTGATTTATGTTCCGTAGAAGCTTAGCGGGAATTTTATATAGAGTTCACCTTTATTATAAATTGTTAATTGTATAAAGTGATTTGTACTATACACATTGAATTTGCAAGATAACATTAATGAATTTGACAGTGAACAATTGTGATCTATTGACATAGGATGATAAATGAATGGTTATTAGAAAAAGTGGAATGATTGTATCAAATCGTAAAACAAACGTAGAAAAATGCAATGGAATAATGTAAAAATTATGTAGTTTTTTATGAATTGTTTTTTATTTGTAAAATAAATAAGTTATATCCAAATTGGGTTTTACTTAAAGAATTAAATCAATATCAGTGTTTAATAAAAAATAAAGGGTATAAACTAATGTAACGTGTATAAGTTTGGTACAAGTAGGTGGCAAATTCAGTTTCATCAGAACAAGGTTTTTCATAATTATATAGAGGTAAATCATCAAGTTTTTCAACAGAAACATATTGTAGAAAGCATCTGGAGCAATGATTAATTGGTAGTATGAGCCCTTAAAGGTACAAACATTGGCATGATTACAACTTAAATTCTTCTAATTGGAACCACAAAACACATCAAACTCTTCTACAATATTAATTTTTTAATGAAAAACTGTTATTTTTCTATTAGTTAACAAGGAAAAACGTGTCATTTATAAATATTTTTACGATAACCGACGGAAAATGGCCGGTAGGCAAATTTGACAGATAAGCTACGGATAGTAAGTTTGACAGCTCTACCGAAAGATATTGAAACACCTGTTTGCGCCATTTTCATACATTTTGCCTACGAACGGTTATCAGTATCAGATCAATCCGTTAGTAGCACACCGTCGGTAGCTTTACCTACCAATGGTATGTTATTGAAACACTTTTTTGCTACCATCGGTAGGAAATGCTACGGATGGTAGCAAAAACGGATAGTTTTTTGGTTATTGAAACCGGGGGTTAGAGTTCAAACATAATATCTACAAAGAATCTGATTAATTAGCACTGCGCAATATTTATGCCTACGCAAATTTTCACACTAATTGGTTGTTGTGATAAGTTTTATAACGTCGATACTTATGTAAGTACTGAGAAAAACAAAGTAATTGGCTCTTAACATTCAACTACGCCAATGAAATCGGTAATACCAAGACAAGACACACTGAGTTTATTAATTGAGACTTAAATTGTATACAAGATGGTGCTTGATGAGCCTTATAGAGTAATTCCTATAACATGAATGAAATAAGAATATTACTGATTAAATATTTTAGTTTGAAATTTATAAGATCAGATATTTCCGCTGAAAATGTTTGGCTTGTGTATAATGAGTTTTTCTTGTTGATATGGAGTATTATCATGAAGCGTAAGTCGTAAATGAAGACTAAGGTACACCTTAGACCTCTTTTACGACTTTCGGTGACATAAAGCCAATAAGTTTTATACATACGGATATACAACCTTGGTTTTATGTTTCTAAGGTACGTAACCAGTTATATATATTATGTTAAGGTTAATTGACTTCACTGTATTATTAATTAATTTATTTTTATAATAATTAAGATCAAACACTGTTTATACATGGGAATAATCTATTACGTTGTTTTTACAAACAGTTGCCTTGACTAAAAGTTGCTATGGCAAGCATAAATATGTGTGTTTGTTTGTCCTTTCACGTCAGAAGTGAAAGGACAAACATACAAACACACATATAGTAAAGAGGAAATATTTGATTGTTTGCATTAAATAGGCTCTGATCTACCCACGATCTACTGGACCGATCATACGTGGGTGACATAGGCTATTATTTACGCGGATGAAGTCGCTAAGAATCAATTAGTATCGGCACAATTTAATATGTGAGAGTTGGGAGACTGTATATGGACAGTCATATAGCTTACCCCGTTTTATATTTCGTAAAAAGCTATTATTATTTTTGCATACCTTTGATCACATGGGCTAAGGAGCGGGCAATAGCGAATTTTTATAAAACAAATAAATTATTATTATCGAATAATAGCAAGTAATCTATAATAATAATTTATTTGTTTCCTTCACAAAGTATTACTTAGTACAATATCTAGGAAACAATCGTAGCGTAGAGAGGCTGATGCCTAACGAAGGTTTGGATAAACCTGACCTATAAGGTCACCAGGTTTTAGCCCAAGGCTATACCTATTGAACTTGCATAATGCACTAGGATTCATTTATAATGGAAGAATGCATGAGCGAGTTTTAGTATCGCATTTATTGGAATCTTTTCATTTAAATTTATGAAATAAAACTAAACTAAAAAATATAAGTAAAATGCAATGTAATAAAAAGGTAACAACGGATATCGATACATCTAACAATATAATAACTGTTGGTCATTTTTAGGTAAATGGCGAATAATTAATGAAACAAATGAAAAAAGAAGTTGAATAATTCAGATACTTAGTAAGTATAAAAAGTATTTATAAATTATCTACTGTTATTAAACAACATAAATAAAGTATTAAACAATTAGTAGTTAGTTACTGTGAAACTGGAAGCATAGCTGTGTGGGTTGTACTATAAATAATTGATTAGCTTTAATGGATGTGAGAAATGATAAATGCTTTATAGATAAACTTTATAGACACAGACAAAAAAATCTGTGTACCAGACCTTCGCTTCCATGAAACGATATTTTAATATATTTATTTTTATTATGAGGGCAAGTTTTGTGGTCTATGGCACTGGATAATGATATCATAGCTTAATATTGGATAGTTTGATTGAATGTAAGAAAATTGTGGACGAACGTGGAATGTTAGACGATAGAATAGGAATTATTATCAACAATTAAAGATGTATTAATTGGTTTAATAGAACAAATATAATAGAACAATCTAATAAAACAAATATAAGACTTAAAAACATCAAAAAGACACCCGGAATGGAAAAATAACAAATACTACGAACGCCAAAGGTTTTTGTTTTAACTACAGATAATATAACCATATGGTCAATCTGAAGATTTAGAAAAAAAAAACTGCTTATTTTGTTTTTAAATATTACTGAATTCTGGATAAGCATTCTTTTAATTTAATTATGGAACTTCTATCGTGTTGATAAATCTTTACTTCGGTCTATTGTATTCAAAATTTCCTAGGTACTAGAATAAGCTAGAACTATCAGAAGCGTATTTTTAGGTCAATCAGATTTTTTTAAAATTCTAAAACATAAAAATACTAGCTTTCCGCTAGGTGCTTTGACCGTGTGGCTTAGCTGATGGCTTTTAGTGACATAAAAATTTGTCTGTATGTTAATCGTTCTGTAATTTTTGCGTAAAATACTAACAAACATACATGTTCAGAAACTTTACTATTTATTTATCAAGTTGCACAAACTACAAACTAAAAAGTAGATTATTAAGGTTTAATGACAACTTTAAGCTATAATGAATGTTCTAAATCTACAATAGTTATGTCGCCTTAAACTAATGACAATTTTAATAGACGTTTGTGCGACTCGGTGAAAATGTTGAAAATTACTTGAAATATTCGACATAGTTTTTAAGTCTTCCAGAGCTCAGTTGGAAGAGCACTTAGTCTGATTATTGATTTTATGTTATTATAAAATCAATCAAATCGTATTTGTAAATAAATTACTCGATCAGTTTTTAATTATAACAAATACAAAAATATATTCGTGTTATTTTTATGTAAAGTCACTAGTGACGTTCATTTTAAATATATATTTTTATTACCTTCCCCTCCGAGACCTGGATTCTTGTAAATGTACATGCTTTGTACCACGGCTGGTTCTTTGAATCCTAATTGGTGACAGACCGCTTTTACACGGTCACTGTATGTATAACATCTGAAGATCGGATGCAGCAAATGTAAGGCATGGCCAACCTTAAAAAAAGATTTAAATAAATATTAGCAATCGTTACAAGATGGATAGCTATAGTTTTCGAGTCGAGTAAGAGACACTGGAAATAAAAAAATAACGAAAAGAATCATAGGAAAGCGAAATACGCGATCTTTTGTTTTCGTTGATGACATAAAAGCATTTTTATTATTTCGAAGAACACTTCAATCACTTTAAAAAACACCGGACATGGAACTGAGGGCTTTCGAACTCGAGAAACGCTTTGTCTAAACCTAAATATTTATTATATAATACACCTTTCTCGGGTCCAGAGTGAGATATCGTATGGGCGCTCCCGAGAAAAGTGACATTTGGGTGTAGGCAAAACGTTCTCGAGTTCGTCACGCTACGCGTAGGTAATGGCTGGTATAAATTATGTCCGGCAGACGATTCAGGAACTGAAAGACCCCAGTTACCAAGTTATTAGTCCAGGACTAGCCACGTATGCCACACTATGAGAACTACTTAAGGTTTTGATTGAGAGCTATAAAATCTATAACCTAATTTTATGTGATTTAGTATTAAGATATCGAGATTGTATATTAAAAACGGTGAATTAACGAGAAACAAAGATGAGATCTAAAAAAATTGTCTGAAGATATTGTTTTTCGCATTCAATTTAAAATAAGTTGCTAAATTGTTTTATTGTTCTTTCTTAAAGTGTTCTAACTAAATATCTATTCGTAATAAATGCTAAGTGTTGCTTGTGTGCATAACGCGGCTTCCAGCGTTTAAACCTATAAAGAAAATCAATTCGAGTTATGACGATCACGTTCCCTTCTACACTAGAATAAATACAGTTAGTATTATTTTATCTGTGTCCACAGATTACATAGTAATACCTCAGTAATGAACCCTTTGTGTTCGTATTGTATAGGTATTATTCCGGCTAAATATTTACTTAATTCAATAAATGATTTTTAATTATTCTTGGTTTAATAAGTGTTCACCAATAAACAAAAAATATTGATCAAAATTAATAAATAGTAGATACTACATCACATTTGCTTGATGAACCACAAATAGGTAGGAGGTATCTGGTTCGTCACCAACAGATCACCTTTGGTACCAATAACTTAATGTAACTGTTGAAATGCTCTGACTTTTAATGTATGCCAAGAAAGTGGTCTAACAGTTTTAACGGAAGATTATGTTTTATTACCACATCAGCAACTAATTACAGTCCCTTTGCTGAGGCTTAGGCCTCCCTCTATGGAATTGAATCAGATTGAATAAGGAGAGTCGCGTTTACATACTCAACAACAATTGTATTGTCTGTTATCGTTAAGTTTGACAATTGAAGCAATGGTCTCATTTCCTCTTGCAGTATTTAATATTATTGCAAGGGGAAACGGACCTCAACTTAACTGGTGGAAAATAGGAAGAATAATTAACTGAACATGAGAATCCACAAACCGTTTTAATATAAAACCATTGGCCTCGAAAAGCGAATTGACAATGACAGAAGAGAAAACGTAAAAATGAAGTGTGACTTATTTTGGTTGGAAAATGGCTTAAACCTGGTGCTAAAATTACTTCTAGTTTTTTAATAATGACAAAGACGGTAAAAGTGTAACGTAGATAATAATACATATTTTATATTGTCATAAAAGGGCCAATATTTTTAATAGAGACAGTTAAAATTTTCACCAAATGCCTTCATTTTATGAAATCAAACAATGTTCAAATTTTAACTGGTTTCCTTATTTCAACATTGAGCCTACAATTGAGTATGCGATGATTTACCTTCTACAAGTATACCTACGGTCAATATACAACGTGTCCCAAAATTCAACGATAAGCGGGCGCCAAGAGGTAGACCTGCTCATGTGTACTTATGGAAAAATAAGAAAAAAATTATATCTTATTAATCTTTTTTATTATAAAATTAAATTCGAAAATCTTCGAAAATTTACACCTTTTATGATATTTTCAACTACCACGACCACAACTTCTCAATTATGTTCAATCTTTTTTTGGTATCGGATACCTAAGTAGCACTACTATTCGCTACAACTCTTAAAAACACCAAAATGCCCGCAGTTTTTACACAAAAAACAATGAAAATGTATTTTTTCCTTAAATTTTCACAGATTTTTACGTTCCGTAATCTTTGACTTACGGTCTTGTAAAAAAAAAGTATGGACACCACTGTGGCAAGTTGATTTTAAAATTGACTGAACTCATCAAGATTCCAAAATGGTATAATAATCTAAGATAACTAGTCACAGAAAAAAAATATGCACACCATTTGTAAACCAAGAGTATTCCGGGCGTTGGATTGGGCGACTTGGTCCTATCTTATGGCCACCCCGATCACCCGACCTAAACCCCCTGGACTTTCTCTATTGGGGTTGTCTCAAAGACAAAATCTATGAAAAACCCATTACGACATTGGACGAGCTTCGGCAAAAAATTAGTCAGGCTGCGTCACATATCAATGCTAAAAGGTATGCACGAAAAATAAAACGCTCTTTTTTAAGGCGATGTCGTGCATGTATTAATGCCGGTGGAAAACAATTTGAACATTTACTGTAATGTTAATTATTAATAAATGAATGAGACTAAAACTCACTATTGTTTTATTTCAATATTTTTTTTTAAATATTAAAACATTTCGGAACAGTACAATTTATTACTCACAACTTTGGTTCTTGATTCTAAATGGTATGATTTTTAGTTTGTTGCTAGTTATCATGAAGTATTATACCATTATGGAATCTTCATGAGCTGCGTCAATTTTAAAAACAACTTGCCGCAGTAGTGTCCATACTTTTTTTCTACATGACTGTGAGTCAAAGATTACGGAACGTAAAAATCTGTGAAAATTTAAGGAAAAAAATACATTTTGATTGTTTTTTGTGTAAATACTGTGGGCATTTTGGTGTTTTTAACAGTTGTAGCGAATATTAGTACTACTTAGGTATCCGATACCAAAAAAAGATTGAACATAATTGAGAAGTTGTGGTCGTGGTAGTTGAAAATATCATAAAAGGTGTAAATTTTCGAAAATTTTCGAATTTTATTTTATAATAAAAAAGATTAATAAGATATAATTTTTTTCTTATTTTTCCATAAGTACACATGAGCAGGTCTACCTCTTGGCGCCCGCTTATCGTTGAATTTTGGGACACGTTGTATACATATTTTTTCAATTTATTATAATAGAAATGGACAATTTGTTTTGTTATTTTATGAGTTGTATTTTCACTACTTACTTTATTTAATGAGACAGTTGGATCCACAGTAAGTTTTCCGTCGGGTCCAACAGCGTCTACCTCGTAAAAGTAACTGATCTTGTCATTGCTCTCCAAGAAATATTTGTCTTGTATTTGCTGAAAATCATACAATATTATCTGGTTATTTCACAATTATGTTAAGATCTGCGCCATTTTGAACCATAATATACGGCCAGAGTTTAAACTTGATTAAGATGATTGATTTTTTGTTAGCTTGATTTACTGCTGCGTGTAGTGTGGGTTCTGTCTTAATATTCAACTATATTCATGTCTGAGCATATTTTTAATTAAAAGAAAATATATTTTTGAAACTAAAAGAAACAAAATCCACAGAATAGGCTCTTAGGCGTCATATTAATTCGGATGAGTTATACCTATAATTAATTCTGGTTTGGTTTTTATTTTTTCAGGTTACTTAAGACTGTATCATTTTTTTTGTGTTTCAGTAAGTGGCCAAAACATATTAAGCTTCATATTATTTATACTGTCCAGACGCTGAGACTAATACCCTCATACATAATTGGTGTATCAAAACAAAGTAAGCTGTTCGAAATAACGATAACTTAACGGAATATTTCACAATATATCTCTCTCAATAAAAAGAGGATAAATAAAATTGAGAAGTTGTCTATTTATAAATCTAATAAGATGCATTGTTTTTATAGTCCTGAGTGGTAAAACATTAACTTGTGTGAGTTTATATTTCAGACAATTAACTAGTCTTATATTGTCTTATTAATTTCTTTACGCATCGGGCTGTAAGAGTAGATCTTTTTTGTGGCAATGTTTTACTATTTTTATCCTAATTAATATCGGATACGTTGAAAAAGTTTAAAAGAATATATGAACTAAAAAGCAAAACTGTTGTTATTTGAAATGAAATGTACCTACTTTTTATGTATAAGGATTACTTCTAATATACGATAATGACAAGGCTAGCCATGTTTATTGATCCAGAAAAAATAATCAGTGGAAATATCTATGAGCAGCTTAAAGCGAGGGGCCTACCATAGAGAACCCATAGTGTGCTCTCAGTTTCGAGTGTCTCCCAGTCGAGTGAAGCCACAATTTACGGCATGCCAATTCTGCTAATGTTTTATCACAATAGAATCGCAACGATTTTTATTTTGCCATTGTACTATCATCCTAAACTCCAATATTATTGTATATCTGTCACCAGAAAATGAAAGAAATGTGAATTATGTTTGTGAAGTACTGATTAGGACACTGTGTCGCGTCCCGTGTCCGAAGTGGTAATTGGTTTAAAAAAAGATCAAGAAATTACTCGTCAGGTGGACACTTATTCGCTCCGGATACTATACCTACAGTCTGTTATTATATTACCGTTATTATATAACCCTTATTATATTATCTAAAAAAATATCATTAACCTGATCGAGAATCGATTTTCGGATCTCAAAGATGGCGACACTTTAAAAAAAACCTAAGCTCTAATATTATAACGTTGGATAGATATTAAGAGGCTCAAGTTACCCGTCTCTCTCCTTCTTTTGTCGAGAAAGTGGTTTTTTGGTCAGTATCTGATATGTTTTTAGTCAGTTCGATGCCCGCTGCAACCAATTCATCGCATTCGGCTGGTCGTAAGAAGTCTTCGATTACTGCGTAACCATCTTGCTCTAACTGAAATAAAAAATGTATTTATTAGGACAACATCTGTTTCTAAATCGCAAAATGAAATATTATAATTTTACATTAAAATTAGACAACCTCACATATGTTGCTCGAATCTGAAATGAAGCATTAAAGCCCTTGTATTAAGGAAAAGCAACGGCATGTGAATTATAAGGCTTTTAATGAGGTGCTTTAAATATATCATGAGTATCAAATTAATTAAGCAAACAAAACACAATCAAATTATCATCGCAATAAGGAGATTTATTTAGATTCCTTCTACCTGTAGATATATCGTATGCACTTTCATGCTAAAAATTATATTACCCTTTATAATCTAAAATAAGCTAATCTCTAAAACATTTTTAAAATAGTAAATATCTTTATTTTTATGAGTTTATTAAAAAAAAAACAAGAATAATAAGAAGACTATAATTAAATGTATCTTTTTTATTCACTCATTAACTTGTACAATAGCCTTTGTTTCTTGCTCAGTGTTTTCACATCACAAACGAAACGTTTATTCATTCTATTCAACCACAGAACCATTTATCACCTACAGTGCACTCCACTTTATGTGTAATAAATAAATTCATGTTTTGTACGTGTTTAAGATCTATACTGCCATTTCTTTTTGAGTTTGAATGTATACTAAGGTATATAAGGTATACTCTTAAATAAAAAGTAAAATCGGCACCTACGTCTTATGTGAACACGTCATGAAAGAAAATACAAACGCTCTGAAACCGTTTAAACTTGTTTAATTTAATTGATAGTTACGTGAAAATATAAGAAATTAGTAACTAGACAATTTCGTATTTATTTATTATATTAGTTTAAAATATAATAATATGGCAGTAATAAAACAGAAACCTGTATTTTCACTTGTAGTCGTCTATTGTAGTTTCTATACGTTTTCACGACTGATGTGCTGTATCGATTGTGATTACATATGGAGAAGGACACTTTATGATAATGATGACGTTAACCTGGATTTAATAAAAAAAGGGTCTCTTTACCAATTTATAATATTACTTTGTAGTTCCTTATAAAATAATAATCCTCTTCTCACCTTCCACAATCTCAAACAGTACCCATTCAACATTTAATTCCTAACTGACTGATCCACCAAGAGAGTAATTAACCTATATTTTTATTGTAATTGGATTTGATAATTAGACATACTAATTAAATATATTCAAAAGCTACTCTTGTTCATCCATATTGTTCAAATGCAGAGTATTCGCCGAAATTAGATATAGCTAATTAGCCATGTTACTCGTACAGATAACTAAATATTTCCTGCTATTGATATCACAAACTTGTTTATTTGAACCGAGTAATTTAGGTGGAAATACATTTATGTGTTGTTGACGCTGTCTCGTATTGTTTCATATATGAGAATGAAACGTATATATTTCTGCCGCAACACAACACAACATAATGTATCTAAATATATGAAATCGAAGTGTTTCTGTAGCGTCAGAACACGAAACCACCTCGAAATATATTTCCGCCTTAACTTTTGGTGAATTACTCAGGACTTACTTCCAATATTCCTAATATGCTGCAACTCTACTGACACTACCGACAGCATTAGTACCGAAAAGTTTTTCCAGAAATCGTCTTACGCTACATTCGCTCAATGTTTTTCTAATTAGTTAAAGTTGTGTGATACATTCGAATGCATTTAAGGTTTGGGACATTACTTTTCAATGATTAACGGTGGTCTTGCTTATTTATACATGCTCTTAAAATTGACAACAGATGTACTTCTATGTGACATCTATGATGTAGAATTCTTTAGTGAGATAGCGATAAAATGGACTTTGCACCAAAGTGTTATGTGATCTTAAAAGTAGACAATATGTTTTTTTATAGGTTGGATGTTGTAGGTAGGTAGGAATATGATACAAAGTTCTATGGATACCGATGCGTATCGTTTCGATACACATGATACCTGCTTTAGGTCAATACTTTTTTATGGCCAAAGAACAGGCTATAGTATTACAATTATTTTAGATTGACATTTTCAAAAGTTTAGAATGTTTAGAAAAAACAATTGGTAGATAAGTTCCGTTGAAAATCATTTAGAGTTCGGTAAACTTAAAGACTTACGCTAACATTTAGTGTGTTTTATTATATTTTAAGTGTATTATGCTGAAACTCAATATTACTTACAATATCTTAAATAATTCAATCGAAATTCACTTTATTTAACATTATATTATTTACGTGATTCTTAGTTTTAAACGAAGTGTTTATAAACTGTATTAGATGTTAATGGCTTATCTGCGCATTTCACACAATTCTGCCAATATCAAGTAATTATATTAAAATAATTTCTACGTGTAAAAATTATAACCAACAATGTCCAGGTAATTATTCCTCGGGCGATTTCCGTCACTTATTTTCTTTGGTCTATCATCGGTTTATCGACCAATTAAATGAGTCAACGGAAATTGGACGCAAGTACACGATAGATACATATTTTCATGCGGGTACTGACAATTAAGTGAGCCATTAGTCTATATTAGGCGATATCGCCATCAATAGTGAATCGTTAGATACATATTTTCATAGAGTTACAAAAGGAAATATTGGTTTGCTTGTATTTGAGTATAGTTAGCTAGATTGAATATTAGTATTATTAATAAAATAAATGTGAGAAGATTAATATTGTTATATACTTTTGTGTATCGCTACTATAACTGCAACAGCGATTTTTCATACAAATCATTTGTTTTAATTTTTGAACATTATACCTAACGATATGCTAATGTTCACCAACTATAATTTATCAAATATATCTATAACCGAGGAGTTAGGAACCTGTTGAAATCATGAAAAGCGGAACGAGAAAAAATATATCCGGGATTGATCAATGGTCAAGTTAAGTGGTATACGCTCATACGCTACTTCAATATTTTTTTTATAAAGAAAAAGAAATTACCTACACTTCACATCTAAAAATCTAGTGAAGAGTGAAAGGCAGGGGAGGACTATTCAGCGAGAATTAACGATGTTCGTTGAGGATTCATTAGTTTTATCTGTTAATGAAATAGTACTAGTGTTCTTATATGAGGATTTCATTTTGTTTATCATTAAAAATCTTCATATCCAATATGATTGATGAAATACTGAACTAAAGGATCTAATTGATTAAGTTTTCATTACGCCTTCATTTATTTAAATTAAAAAGTAAACATCAATAAATAAAATATGATCACCATCTACTGCTAGTTAGAAAGAATAATATCTATACGTCGCAGCTAGCTGGTTAAATTAGTCGTTTAACTAGGCGGCTAACCATTTAATTGAATAGCGTCATTCAGTCGCACGCCTAGAAGACTAGTTGAATCATGAAATTTGGATCGTTCATTAAGTTTTGTTGTCTGTTGAAAATAACCTCGAAATTTAAGATGATCGTTACGCTGCGCTTCGTGTTCGTCTTAAATTTCTAACCCACCACGTGACCTACAGGACCAAGATAACTTCGTTGTTTAGAATTTTATGTTGTTATTAACTAGTTTACCACCAAATTTCGAAATCATAATAAACACTCTAAAACAATCGCAGTCAATTACATTGCTTACTCCCGTTTCGGTAGATGGCGTTGTGGCCGTCTAGGTCACGGTATATCTTGTCTTTGTATAATTGAATTGCATTAAGAAATTATTATGAATGTTTAAGCTTAACTCACCTCTCTGATCTCGGCTGATCGAAAGTCAGACGATTAATTGAACAGTGCCGCCCATTTGATCGGCTGATCAAATAAAAGGTAAGGAATAAGTGTTTTCCAGGTCTTATCCTCCAGGAAAGAACACATTACGGGACTCTCTACTCTATGGGCCCACATACGGTATATGGGCCCATAGAGTAGAGTCCCACTTAAGGAGATGACATCGCTCATATCAGTGAGGTAAAAGAATTTCGTAAGAGTGTTATAAAACTAAATATATATACTTAGTATTCTTTTTAAATAATACCTCGCCAGGTGGCAAGTTATGTGATAATTTTTCTATACACTAAAAAGACGTATTCGTACGTAAACTTATACGAGCATAACTTACTGACATGTTAATACTCAAAAGTGATCGTCGATATAGTGCGGTGCGAAGTCATACACCGCCCCCACGTAGATATGCTATTTTAGTCACACGTTAAAGTGTTATTTTTGTGGAATTATTTTAATGTTGTGCAACTCAGGGAACTGTAACGCGTCAGCAATTTATTCGAGAATTAGAGAAAATAATAAGTAATAAATAAGTTTATAACTTATTCTTTCAAAATAAACGTTTATAAAACGTTCACAACAAACAATAAACGCATTTAAAATATCATAATAGCATAAGGAATATTATACAATCTCTACCCCTAAGCATTTTATTAAATAATTATAGTAGTTTGTTGAAAAAATAATAAGATAATTTTTCTTTTAAATTACTAAATAAAATATTAAATTGCCAGCATGGAGGGTCATGGGTCATCCTCTTTAACCATCCATAAGCAAGGCCTGAGCCCCTGCAGTGGGGCCGTAAAAGGGCTGGTGATGATGACACTCATCCATATCGTTAACTATCTATGAATGTTAGGTACTATGAATGAATACTTTTATTGTACACCCTAATTTCAAATTCTTGTATTCGCGTAGTTCTATAAATATGCACTTAGTTCTTGCAATTTATGGCATTTCCATCAATATCATTTGAATAATCAATTTAATAAAAAATAAAAAAAAATATATAAAAAATATTTTGCATAAAATAATAAATTCGCTTTGCATTTTTTCGCTTTGCAGTAACTTTTGAATTAAGCACAACATTATCTTTTACTTGAATGATAATTGTAGTAGAGAATCCGTTGCTAGCATTGAAACTATATACATGCAAAAATATAAAAGTAACAATTGAGTGTACGCATTAGATAAATCAATTTTTATATACTAGATGACATCACTTCCAACATTACGGAGCATTGGACTACCATTGCATATCATAAGATTACCA